AATCAGCAAATAGAAAGTGATAGTAAGGGCCAGGAGCAAGAGTTTCTTATTTTTTCTGATCACGGGTCTTATATAGAAGACAGATAATTAAGTGTACTGCATTGTGTCAAAATTAATATCTCAATGGTGTCTTCTGGGGAGGGACTCTGGAGCAGTCAGTGTCTGAAATATGAATAAGGGCTGAAAGGAGAATTAAAAAAAGAACCAAAGTTGTTGGGGAGGGTGTTCCTAGTGCCACTTTTCTACGCTGCTTGTATTTGCTCTGAGCTGCAAAGAATGCTTTATATCGTGCTTAAGGGAATGCTTATGTTTATAGCCATATAGTGGTACTTAAATCTTTCATGTTAGTTTTTGTCTTAATGATTTGCTGTATTTTTAAGCTATCAGAAATCACACAGGAAAGTTAACTATGTTGACTTATACACACATGTATGAATAAACTAGTTATTTGAAGAGCTGAATTGCGAGTTAATATGTAGACTTCCAAGGAAAGTTAGTTCTAAAACTGAAGCCTAATGTAGGAAACTGTCAAGAAGGTAAACTTTATAGGTAAAATATCCTTATATTGTTTTGAAACAAAGTTAAACACAAATATATAACTATATTGACCATTTAGGAGCCACTGTTTTTTAAATACCATAGCCTGTTTTGACATGCTTTCCCCAGTTTAATTGTTAGAACATATATTTTACAACTGACATTTCTATATGGAACAATAATTTTGTTCTTGCTAAAAGTATTAAAATATATTGAGCTCAGAAATAAAAATGCCTCTTTTCTATTTTTGCACTGTATCATTATAATCATCAAGATATTTCATAACAAAAAATATTTAAAACATACACATATAGAAATAAGTACAGAAAGGAACATTTCAGTGTTTTATGGTATTTGCTTCAGATCTCACTTAAATTAAGTTTCAGTCCTACTCTCATGCATTTCCCTTTACTCCCACCCCTCAGGTAATGATTATCCTGAAGTTTGTATGCATGTGCATGTGTGTTATTTCCATGCATATTTTATATTTTTCTATACATATATTTATTCTTAAAGCATTTATTTTTCATTTAAACATATGCAAAATAGTACCCTGTATATATCCTTATGTAACATTTCTCATTCAACATTGTTTTTGTAATGTATCCATGTCAGCAAATGTAAATTTAAGTTTTTTTTGTTATTTTTCACTGCTCTGTAGAATTCTGTTGTATGAATAAACCACCATCCATTTCCCAAATGTGAAGTTATTTCCAATTTTTTGTTTTTAGATGTCCTAATTAGTGCTGCAGTGAATATCCTCTGTGTGATTCCTTGTGCGCATGTGGGATAAATTCTCTAAAAAATCACCTGGTTTTGTTTAATTTTTGGGTGATGTTCAAAAAAGCACATAGGAGATGCTTAATAAATACTATCTAACATTGGATGAACATTCAAACTCTAGCTTTTATTTACCTTGTTAGTTTTTCTGAGTGCACACTGTATTTGCTTCTGTTAATACAAACACAGAATATATGATCACTTAAGATCAAAGACTAATGCAGGACAATATGATTTAAAGTACAGTATTAGCAGCTTGTATAATAAATCTTCAAATTCTCTGTGTTTTCTGGAAAGTGATGGTGCCCTTATACTGCAGATAAACTTTTTTAACCTCTGCAAATAACAATATTTGTGATAATGTTTCGGTCCATGGTTTGCTGGACCTTCAAAGTAAGAAAAACACAAAATAGAAACTTAAAAGGTGAGAAATGTACATGTTGTTTTGTCTTTTATTTGGAGCTAGAGACAAAGTTTTTTCTTTTCTTTTTAGTTATCTCCCTTTTATTTATGAGTGAATGCAGCCATTTTCACTGGCCTCTTTTGAATCATAATCTGCCATCTTATTTGGATGAAGGTGTTTGTTGCACATCAGAATCATCCATAAAACTAAAAAAAAAAGTCTAGGTGATTCCCATTCTGTAGTTTACAGGTTGGGAATGCTTATCTCTTGTTTTCAGAGAGATTCATCAGATGATTCTAATGTTCAGCTCAGATTGTAAAGCACTGCCCAAAGCAGAACCTAGGGTTGAGTGTGAGGCAGGAGAGTTTTTCTCTCATTCTTTGTTGTGAAGGTTATCTTCAGTCTGTTTTCCTGTAGATAGTGCAGAATGGACTGTGCTTCCTGCCCCCACCTCCTACACCAGCCATTCTGAGGTTTTGCTACCAAGATAGTTGTATCTGCAATTCTTACTTGGAAATAGTAGACAGTGCTGTTATTGAGTGCACAGTGGAATAGACAGAGATAAGACAGCTTAATGGGGATTGTGGATAGTACTGAAGTAAACCTTAGGAACAAGATGGTAATATAAAGTGATCAGTTCTTAACATACTGTATTGAAAGGATCTGTGCAGAGTTCCATTTTGAGAATAAAAACTTTATGACATACCTAACTTAAGTATAGGGTTGTAAAAAAATCTATTCCGTATATGTCACTTGCTTCCCCATTCTTTAAGAACTGATACTGAATTTATTTGCAAAGCAATAGCAAAATGAAAAAGAGCTCTTGACCTCTATTTTTAGAACTTATTTATGGAGTCTCTTCATGTTATATCAAGTTGTTGTGAGAAATCGAGCTTGCATTTGTAAAGGGAAACAAGTTAGGATTTGTAGCTATGGAATTTGCCAAGTGTGTCATGTTTCCAGTAAGTTCATAAAATTATTAACCTTTTTAGTTGTGTCCAAAATGTCATTTTCCCAAGGATTTATGAGGTATTTAATTGCCAATGCAAAAGTTGCAAAGTGCTGACTAATGTAAATATCTTTTTGTATGTGTGAATAACAGTCACTCCTTTCTCTTAGAAGATGGGCTTCATGGGATTGTAAGCTGCACAGCTTGTGGACAACAGGTCAATCATTTTCAAAAAGATTCCATTTATAGACATCCTTCACTGCAAGTACTTATTTGTAAGGTATGTAATGATCTGTTGATGAGGCATTCTACAAATAACTGAATGCTTACCATATGTCCAACTTTTGGTGCACAGTGTTAGAATTTTGGTACACAGCTGTGAAGAAGATGGAAATTATCTCTGCACTTGGATTGCTTTTATGTAATGGGGAAGACAGACCTAAAAAGCCTGATTAGTGCCATGATAGTGGAGATACTGTGTACTATGGGAACACATAGGAAACCTGTGTAATTTGGAGTTGGGTAGGGAGCGTTTATCATGGAGATGATGTAAACTGGTATCTGAAATATAAATAAGAGCTAGCCTGGTGAAGTGAGATTGGTTCAGCATATTCTTGGCAGAGGCAACATGGTGTTCAAAGGCTGATAGGTGAGGGAAAGTGTGGTGTCTTGGAAAATCTTAAGAGTGTATGTATGTGCACACGTATGTTTTATAACTCCCTCTTATGTACCCTAATTACTCAAATCCAAACTCTGTGGAGTGGGGTTTTGACATAACTTGGAGATAATCAAATTAAAAATGCTTAGTATGTGTCAAATATAGTTTTAACAGATTATGTACACTTTTTTTTAGTAATACCTTGGAGTTTATTTTAAATATCTGTAATATCAATGTCATGGTTTCCCCAATTCATATTATTGCTAAGATTAATCCTGCATTAGTTCGTTTTGCAGTAAATTCCCTCTTTGAAATGCAGGGTCAGACCAGACTTTTCTCAAGAGTTCTAGTTCTAGATCTTTTCTTATATGCATTTGTGATAAATATAGACCTACTTAAATGTACTACATTTACTTCCTCCTTTAGCAATCTGTGTTCCTCCTTTCCTTGAATTCAGTTCAGCCAGGAGCCAATCTAGCGTATATGTTGTAGCCTCTAGATTTTTTTAAAAAAAATTTTTATTGGGGAATTGTGGGACGGGAACAGCGCTGGGGAATCGGGGGAAGGGGAACAGACAAGTTGCTGTCCTTTTGTTCTTCAGTCTAGTAGTGGAGGACGTTGCTTCACTGGCCCAGTTTGGCACCATCATTGCGCTCTTTCCGGGTGAGGCAGATCAGTCGCTGGCTTCTGGATGGATGGTCACTGCGGCTGCCAGCTGCTCATCCTGGCTGCTGGCTACACACGGTAGCCCATGGCAACCCACTGCAGCAGGGGTTGCAGCCTACGCCATTGCCGGGGACTCATGGCAACCCAGCTCCAGGTTGAGCTGTTGTTCAGCATCTTAGCTGTGGAGGGCAGTGTCACTGCCCTCATATGTGGGATCCGAACCAGGGCCCTCTGGCGTCCCAAGCCAGCTCTTAACCAATGCACCACTCGGCTGGCCCTGTAGCCTCTAGTTTTAAATTGTGACAGCTGAATTTCATACTGCTGGATTTGGACTGTGCATTCCCATTCTCTTTTCTTATGCGTATAATTGGGTTTTTTTGTTGTTGTTGTTTTACCCCCAAGGGCCAGTCTGTTGAGCCTAGTTCATTTCAGTAATAAATGGTTTTCACCTGTGGACATGGAACCTTCCCTTTATCCAGTCCCAGTAAAACGGAATTTAAAGTCAGTCAGACTTGTATTTGAATTCTAGCTTTGTCTCTTACTAATTGTATGAATTTAGGAGATTTATTTACATACTAATGAACTTTACCCTTTATTCTCCGATTGGGCGTAATACCTCCAACCTTGTAAAGTAGGTATTTTGAGATTTAAAGATAATATAGGTTAATGTTGCTTAGCTGTACAATAGTAGCTATTTATATATGATGACTATTAAATTTATTAAGAAGCAACAACACCTAATGCATTTTTATGTAGAGCTTTAGTAGCTAGTCATATGAAATCAGAAATTTGCTTTCCAAAACCTTTTATATACATTTATGTAAGGAATGTGGTTGATGATATGGAAATCTATTTCAAGGTATTAGTTTCTTGAGCTATTCCTATGCCTGGGAAGTATTAGTATTGAATAGTTCATTGTTTTTGCTTCAATTGTCTAAAATATAGGCACATACATGTATTCCCTTAACTTTTTTAATGACTTAAAAAAAATCAAGTTTTTTCCTATATGGATGCCACCAATTTTGAATAGAATTTCCTTTTCCCCTTTTCTTTTAATAGAATTGCTTTAAATATTACATGAGTGATGATATTAGCCGTGACTCAGATGGAATGGATGAACAATGTAGGTAAGTAATACATCAAGATGAAGTAAAATTCAGTGTTGTCTACTTTTTTTGCAGGGGTGGGTTGGGAGGTGGGAATTCCTACATTATCTGTTATTAGATCCATTTTTGGTAGTATCATTGTTGACGTCTTTAATGGAAGATTGTTCTTTTCCACAAAGCCTTAGGTTTATGTCTGTTTTAAGTTTTTATTAAAGAATATGCAGATGACCTAAATTGCTTGACTATTAAAATTGATGGCAGGAAAATTTAAATTCCTTTAATAATGAAAAGGTTTAAAATGAGTTTCGTTTGTGAATAATATTTTAATCTTTAAATAATTTCAGATGGTGTGCAGAAGGTGGAAACTTGATTTGTTGTGACTTTTGCCATAATGCCTTCTGCAAGAAATGCATTCTGCGCAACCTTGGCCGAAAGGAGCTATCTACGATAATGGATGAAAACAACCAATGGTATTGCTACATTTGTCACCCGGAGCCTTTATTGGACTTGGTTACTGCATGTAACAGCGTATTTGAAAATTTAGAACAGTTGTTGCAACAAAATAAGAAGAAGATAAAAGTTGACAATGAAAAGAGTAATAAAGTATGTGACCATACACCCAGATTTTCTCCAAAGAAAAATAGTTCTAATTGTAATGGAGAAGAAAATAAATTAGATGATTCATGTTCTGGTTCTGTAACCTACTCTTATTCAGCACTAATTGTGCCCAAAGAGATGATTAAGAAGGCAAAAAAACTGATTGAGACCACAACCAACATGAACTCTAGTTTTGTTAAGTTTTTGAAACAGGCAACAGATAATTCAGAAATCAATTCTAATACAAAGTTACGTCAGCTTAAGGCTTTTAAATCTGTGTTGGCTGATATCAGGAAAGCTCATCTTGCATTAGAAGAAGATTTGAATTCAAAGATTGAAGGTTTGGATGCTATAAACAAAGAGAAAAATACCAAAGAGTATAAAGTCATAGATGCTAAGCCTGAAATAAAAGTACAGAAAGGAGAAAAACCCTGTGTTTTGGAAAGGAAATATATTTCAAAATCAGAAGCTAAACTGTCAGGAAAGCAGGTAGATAGTGAGCACTCGGATCAGAGCATTTTAGAAGAGGAACAAAGAGCAAATGAAAGTACCAGTGCTGAACATAAGAAATCTGGCAAAAAAGAAGAACCTCAGTATGAACCTGCTAACACTTCTGAGGACTTAGACATGGATATTGTGTCTGTGCCTTCCTCAGTTCCAGAAGACATTTTTGAGAATCTTGAGACTGCTATGGAAGTTCAGAGTTCAACTGTTCACCAGGGTGATGGCAACAGTGGCACTGAGCAAGAACTGGAGCGTTCCTCTGTAAAATTAAATATTACTTCAAAAGATGACAGAGGAGGTATTGAATCAAAAACTACAACTAAAGTAACAAAAGAATTATATGTTAAACTCACTCCCGTCTCCCTTTCTAATTCCCCGATTAAAGGTGCTGATTGTCAGGAAGTTCTGCAAGATAAAGATGGCTATAAAAGTTCTGATCTAAGCTCCAAGCCAGAGAACTGTGGACTTGGACAGGAAAAAAATGATAATGAGTATTTGGCTGAATGTGAAGTTCTGTTACCTTCAGAAGAATCTGATCTTCGGAGATCCCCACGGGTAAAGACTACACCCTTGAGGCGACAGACAGAAACCAACCCTGCAACATCTAATTCAGATGAAGAAAGTAATGAAACAGTTACGGAGAAACAAAAACTGTCTGGCCCAATGAGAAAAAATGATAAGCGGAATTCTTTTGACAGTGCTATAGATAATCCTAAACCTAATAAATTGCCTAAATCTAAGCAGGCAGAGGTCGTGGATCAAAATTCAGATTCTGATGAAATGCTAGCAATCCTGAAAGAGGTATCCAGGATGAGTCACAGTTCTTCAGATACTGATATTAATGAAACTTATACAAATCATGAGAAGACTTTGTATGATTTAAAGACTCAAACAGGGAAAGATGATAAAGGAAA